GTTTCTGGCTAGGCTCGGGGGTCATAGAATCACAGAATGGTTTGGGTTGGAAGGGACCTTAAAGATCATCTGGTTCCAACCCCCCTGCCATGAGCAGGGACCCCTTCCACTAGACCAGCTTGCTCAGAGCTTTGTCCAGCCTGGCCTTGAACACTGCCAGGGAGCGGGCAGCCACAGCTTCTCTGGGCAACCTGTTCCAGTGTTTCACCACCCTCAAGGTGAAGAATTCCTTCCTAATATCGAATCTAAATCCGCCCTCTTTTAGTTTACAGCCATTCCCCCTTGTCCTATCACTACACACCCTTGTGAAAAGTCCCTCTCCATCCTTCCTGCAGGCCCCCTTCAGGTACTGGAAGGCTGCCAGAAGGTCACCCCGGAGCCTTCTCTTCTTGTTGGTTAGCCTGTGGTCACTTCCCGTCATACACCGCAGCTTCAGTGAATAATGTAGTCTGAATGATTGTTTGGTAGTGCTTTGCTTTAATTACTTCCCAGGCTTGTGTTTTTCATATCTGTTAGTGTACTTAACTGTGCAAATTTCATGCTTTGCCACTGTTATGTTGGGTGTTCATCGTTACATTTGGATCTGCCTGGCGAATTGGGAGGTGGAGGAGTCTGCGGTTACCTGTAATTTGCTTTAGGCTGTCAGAGCTTTTGAAATGCTCGTGAAACAAGTGGCTGCTGAGCCACTGGAGGATACAGGGAGGAATCCGGTTTGTATGCTCCAGCGCTGAAATTACCATTCGGATATTTTTAAAAGCCTGGTGTATTACTCAGTTTTTGAAATTGGCTTTGACAAGTGAAAAACAATCACTAGTTTTCATGTAGTGTGTCGGTTACCCCAAAATACACAATCAACTAAAGGAATAACTTGTGGCATGCATTAGGGTGAGAAGCACTGTGTAACACTGTGATGGCAATAAATACTTTTGAGTCTCATTTCAGTGTCCTTCCATCTGTACGTACCCAGTTTAAGTCGATCGTAATTCAGAATAAATGTAAAATTCATCTCAATAGGTTTGTCTTGTGCCAGAAATGTGAAGGCTGTGTAGTTAAGTATTTATTTCAGACAGACTACCTTAACATACAGGTGTACAGAAAGCCATTATTACATACTTCCAGTGTTTGATTTTACAGTAGTGCTAGTACCTGTTACGAGTTTTAGCATACATTGTTCAAATCTAAAGTTAGAATTTGCGTATTAGTGTTTATGGCATCTTGTGTTAAACAAGCCTCTGTCCTTTATGTAACAGACCTTTTTGAGTATTTCATGATAAATGTGGATATTAAAGGAAACAAATTCCCAGAGCTCACATTTCTCTTCAAATTCCTTGATTTTGTTTCTCCTTCCTCCATTTCCTTTCGGTGAACTTTATTGTTTTGTTAGATGAGAGCAAACTAATGCTTTCCTATGACAGTTAAGTTCACAAGGATAAGTATTTTTCACTTATAACATTAATCTCCAAATGCATGTAGCCAAAAAACGTTTTGTTTCTCAGGGCATGAAGTTGTCAGCAGAGGTCAAACCATTTGTTCCAAAACACGCAGCGGTAACTGTGGCATGGTCAGAACCCTCAGAAGCATGTGTCTTTCCTAGATACTTAACTACATGCTACCCATTTGTTCAGGAACCATCTTTGGATAAGTATGTATATTTTCTGAATCATATTTCTTGGGGGATTTTAACCTTCCGGTTTCGGACACTGAATACTCTTACGAAGTCAAAGCTCTTATACATTAATATTTTAATTGTGGAAGTGCTTGTGCATTGTCTTAATCATTTAGGTTTTTGCCTTTATGTTCTTTGCGCATATGTCTAGTACCTTGTCTTTTGCTCCCAAGGGCGTGTATTGTTACAGAGCATTAAGGAGGATTTGTTTGTCTGTAATGATTGATCTGGCTCATTTGTGCTTTGGAAGCAGCTGGATCCAGTCCTTGGGTGAAAGAACAGTTGTGTTATGATGAGGCTGGGGTAAATACAGTCATATAAAAGGAAGAGGAGGATCCTCCAAGAAGGTTTCTCATGCTGTAAAACATTTAAATAATGTTTGGGGCTCCTCCTAGATCTCCTTTCCACAGCCTGTGCATCCCGAGAAAGGCAGTTTTAGTAAGAATGCTACAGGTTTCTAAATTAATTTTTTTTTCCTAAGAAGACCTGAAAAAAAAAAGGCATTCATGGTAGACTTATAAAAGTAATGTTAACCGCAGAGCAAGATGGGTAAAAACCTACATAGTAGGATAGGAAATAATCAAGTATTGTAAGAATCTTGTGATGTTACGTAGTTCTTTATTTGCTTCCCAGCTTCGCAGAACTCTTAAGCATTGGATTAATTTTGCAATTACTGTGAAGTTTTGAGCATCCTAACAAGTTCAGTTAGAGCCTTAGTGAACACATTCATTGTAGACCTTCATGTTATCCTGTAGGAAATCTCAGTATTTTCAACCCGTTTTGATTTGTAATACAAATTTAACAGTGAGGTGAGTATGACCTGATCACTGCACTAGAAAAAAACCACATCATTAATGTTAAATCAGTTAACATTAAATAGAACCCAGCAGACAGCAGCAATATTCAGATTAATGTTTTGCTTTGTTGATACTGATCCATAGTTATTTTTTTGACTCTCCTTTGTTACTTTTCCTCTCCGTGCAAACTAAGATGTAAGTGGTTTTTTTACTACAGTCTATCAGAATTGCAGCAGGCAGTGAGAAATGTGTTGTCTGAAGTCTCTTGCTCTGATCAGGAAGTTTCTCTGTTTTTCATTATCTAACCAAGATTCAGAGGTTGGCCACTTCATGGTGAGCAGCTTTAAAAACTAAATGCGACAAGCTGAAATTCAGTTTCTCCCTAATCAAATTTGGATCTCAGCATGTAGTTTCTGTACAAAGTGCAGGAGGAAATTGGAAGGGAACTTTTGGATATACATAGGAAGGAAAAAGGCATGTCTCAGACATGCGTTTTCATAAACCGGTGGTTAAATGCAGGTCGGTTAATGATTATCTTGTAATTCTGTACTGTATTTCATACGTGTCTTATACCCCATAAGATGCTATACTCCTGCTTTGTTACGGTATTTTAAGACAAGTTTTACTCTTTAGTGTTTGTATTTTTGCAGTCGGGTATGTAGTGCATGTAATGTAGTCATACTCTGTTTTTGGTTTGTTTCACAAGAAAAAGTATACTGAAAATAAGCACAAAGAATCTTGATAAGCTTAAACAGAAATGAGGACTATAACTGCAAAGCAGACTGGCTTTGAAACTTGGAAACGGATAAAGTCTGTGTTTTAAAATGCTTGCTAAACCCCCTGTATTCCAAAAACAAAACAATTATTTTTAAAGCAATTTGTAGCGGTGAGTAAATACTTGACTAAAGTAACAATGAATGGTTTTCTTCTGGATTATAGCTTTCCTGTTAAACAAATCCTTCAGCTAAGGAATGATATGTTTATCTAGGCAAGAAATGTATGCTGAAGATTTGCCCTGGGGTGACTACTCATCTCTGTCTCAATGTCCATCGGGTAGTGTTCTGGGAGATCCTGCCTTCCGTGAATACTCCAGCTGCTCTTACCCACCTGATGTTTCAAATGCATATCCATTAGCTGCCTCACAATATCACTCTAACAACTCAACACTTTATAATGGTTCAGGAACAGTCAGTGAATCTGCTGAGCAAACGTATCCAATCAGACAAGAAAGTAAGAATCTTTCAAAGGTGAGCAAATACATGTTTTTGAAAAATTAAAATTAAATTCTTATTTTAAATCAATCTTTCTAAATGTTTGGTTCATTTTTTAAAGTGAATAATCACTCTGTGTTCTTGTAGTGATAATGTATGGCATTTAAAGAGGATGGAAGTAATGTGCCCAACTTTAAATATTAGTGGAATTCTGCAGTTCAAATTGATACAATTTTTCAAGCAGTCTTTTTAGAACATGAGGGGAATTTAGTTCTTCCTCAGAAGGCAGCATTTGGGAGAAAAAAAAGACCATTCATTTCTGAACTGTGCTTTCCTTTGTTCACTTTTTGGGCTTGAGGGGAGGTAAGAGACTTTTTTGTGCTCAGTGGCAGCTTGCATGAACCTGAGTTGAGAGAGACGTGGTGGCTATAGCCAGCTATATGGCTGATAAGTGATGAGACCACAGCTGTTGCTGAAAGATTTCCAAGACCTGCTATGGGCAGAAAACAATTCACAAGAGAGTAAGAACTTGGCTTGGTGTGGAGAAGGAAGAAAGGTTCATGTTAGAAATGTTCTCTTTTAATCAGAAGTAAAACACGTTTGGTAAACATCTGTCATTCTTTGTCTGTGCCTGTTTGGGGGTATATTTCCTGAAACCTGGATAATGTTTTCGAACGAAAAATAGACAAACTCCTCAAAATATGAAAATCAGGGAAAAAATTCAGATGTATTATTAATCCATTTCCCTCTATGGTTAGACATTGTGTCTCTTGGATTTGTAAGGCTGTTGTTGTTTCCAGCAAGTTCAAGTAATCTGTTCTCCAGTCACATCCTTCTGGTGGACCTGATTCCCTAGGCAGAGACCTGGTAACTTCACTGTGGTCAAGCCTCTGCGGAGGAAGTTGTGACACTAGGTCCTGAGTGTGTGTCACTAGACATAAGATACAAAGGCAAGAGACCTAAAATTAGTAAGTTCCTTGCTGGGAGCAAAACTAAACACAGAAGTTGACTGGGGAGATGATCAGCTCAGCGTTAGCACAGGTGATGTAATAGGAAGAAACTTAGTTTAGCTTCTGGGAGGAGTTCTGTGAGTTTGCAGAGGCTTGGGCTGAGCTGTGTACTGTTTGACAGTCTTTTTGTCGTTGTTCTCTGTCATTTATTTTTTTGTGAGCTTGTATTTTTTTGTGAACTTGAAGAGAAATGGTTGATCTTTGCAGCTTTGCATTAGTTTGATCAAATCTCTGAAAGCTTTAACCACTAGCTTTGGCGGTCAGGAAATGCCTTGTCCTCCCACCCAAGAAAACAGTATTGCTACCAGATGTACTTCAGATTTAATCCAGCATCCTGCAATTAGAAGGAGTTGGAGCCACTCATCTAGGTTGATACAGTATGCTTTACTTAGACGCAAGGCCAGTGCTTGTTCCTTGCCTGCCATGCTGATTGCTGAGCCTAGCTCTGCCGAACCATTGCCTGGAAGAATCACAAGGCTTTCAGGATTTGACAGTATAAGTGAATGTGTTTCCTTTACTGAGATTATGCAGGTGTATCTTTTTCCTGATTGCTTTCTGTCTGCTCCAAGTGTTCTGGATGTTGTGATGTCAGTCTTGCAGAGTTTTGCTCATAATAAGTAGTTTAGTCAAAAGATTGGAATGCTTTTAAGGCTTCAGCCCTGTTGTAGAAGAAACAGTAGTAGTTTTAGAAAATCAGACTGGGTAATTTAAGACCAAACAATTGTAAGCTTTTGGAAATGCCCTGATTAATGAGATGTTAAAAGTACAGTTGTCTAGAGACAAATGGAATAATAATCCCTCTTGCTTGAGCTATAATATGTGTGAAAAATGGCACAGGTAACAAGGTAGATAAAACTGAATAACAAATCTCTAACTGGCTGTTCCTGTTTTTATTGGTTGGTTATGGTATACTATTTATGTTGTGTTAGCTTAATGGTCAAATTCCAGATGCAGAGGTAAATAACTGTAGCTAAAGTTAAGGCAAACTAGATGACTTTACAAAGTTCAAGTCAAGTAAACTAAATATATCACAAATACTTGCAGCAGAGGAGATCAAAAGAGGGTGAGAAAAAATCAGACAAGAAAAGGCATGATGGAGATGACTCTTCTGTCAGAATTGTGAACAGGTCTTCGTTCCAGACCTCCACAGGCAGCAGAGGTTCCGTGAAGCCAGGTACAAATGTGCTGTTTGCTTAGACATATATCAGATAGATATAAAATGGTTGACTGTGCTATAGCCTCCTAGTTTGTGAGCACATTTCTAAATCTAGAATAATTAAGGAACAGGATTTCTTTCCTGTGTGACTTTTTGACAAGAGATGGTGACTTAAATATATTTGCTGATTGAACAAATTAATGTAAACAGATATGAAAAATTCCCTGAACGAGCATCTGAATTTACAGTTGCTTGTTGAGTCCGTGTTGTGTATGCATGTTGGTTATAATTTTTAGGTGTTTTTTTTTAATAGGAGCTATGTGTAGCAATAGTTCTTCTGTAAATTAGCATACTATACTATGAAACATGCCTAGAAATTATCACAAGCAAGTTTAATTATTTGGACTTTACATGTTTTATTTTAGACAGGTTCAGTAAAACTACAAATAAGAAGTCAACCCAAACTCCAAAACTATATTCTCTTCCTGTACCTGCGTTTGAAGCTACCATTCTGGATTTCCGAAAGTCACAGAGTTTGGGAAGCAGCGAGGTATTGAATGTACAGCACAAAAGTGGACCAATATGTTCATCGGAAAGTAACATTATGTGCCTTAGTGAACCACATATGTCTCTTCTGTTGAACACAGAGGTTAGCTGATGCTTTCATGTTGCAGAACTCACAAAAATAAGTCTAAAATTCGAGCACATATGAGAAGTATTTTGCATTCAGTATGGTAGTGTAAGACCTGTTTAAGTACCTTGCAAACAAGGAGTTTCAGAGCTAGAGGTTTTACAGTTCTTCTTGTAGATGGTGGTCTCAGTACTTGCTGTCTTTTACCTAGTCTCGTTAGTCTTTCCTTGTCTGTGCTGCTAGTAGATAGGGGAAAGCCAAGTACTGTTGGAATTTAGATTGGTACTGCTATGGCCTATACTTCTAGCTTGCCTATTACGCAGCATGTATGTTCCTGATGTTTCTTAACAGCTTCTGGTTATCTCTGTTGCCTGGAAATAATAGGTAAGCAGTCACTTGTCCAGTAGCTTTAACGGATTAAAAAAAACCCAACAAAAACAAAATCACAAAACTCTGGATTATTGTGCTATATTTCTCTGTGCTAAAGGACAAAAATAAAAAACTGAATTCCAGAAGGTAGAAAAAATATTGTTAAGATGTAAGCATTTAACTTTGTTCTTCTTCCTGATTTCCTTGCTTCCTTATTTGTTAGTAAATACAATACGGACACATTCAGCAGCATGTCACATATATTGAATCAAAGTTTTCAACAGTGATTAAAGATAAATAATTTTGAAGGATGCAAACAGCATAATATTTTCAGTGTCTCTGAGTGGAAAACTGCCTGTGATAGAAAAAAGACCTTTCTGCTGTCACTTGAGTTTTCGTTTTCATTGCTAGTTTGAGTTTGATGATGGACTTGTTTTTGATGTTCTTAGAACATAAAAACTTTTTTTAATTCATTCTTACAATCATTGTTTGGATGCTTTCAGAAAATATAAGAAGGCATCATCTTGCTTGTACAGCAAGTGGAGAGACATCTGCTTATATTTTGTAATGCTATAGCGTCGAAATGATGGTTCCGCTAAGAAAAGCATCAAGAAGAGTCAGGCTACAAAATTCTCTGCACCTTTATTTGTGCACAGGTTGAGGATTTTTTAATTTGTGGGGTTTTTTATGTTTAGCTCTGTTTAGGTCGGTGATTTTAATCCTACTTTTGTGCTACGTGACTTGCTTTTCTACAGGAAGATACTTCTGCAGAAAGTAGAGCTTCATCAAAAACTCTGGATGAAACAGTAGCCAGCTTAATTCCGTCTTCATTTGATGGTAGAGGTAAGTGCTCCAGACCCAAATGATTTCCCTGTATTTTAACTGCTTGCATCTCATCAATGTGGAGAACTAAAGTGTTCTGAGGAGAACTCACTTTACTCTGTAAAGTAAAAAAGGAATTAAACAGCAAGCTCATTACAGAAGGAAAAAAAAAAAGGCGAATAAAGCTGTATCAGTTTCTTTCAAGTGAGATGACCACTTAGAGCTCATTCTGGTTTATAGATTTCATCAGCAGATCAAAACTGGAATTATGTTTCTTCTCTGTTGTTTCACTGATACTCAGGGGCAAATGTTGCTGTAGTTGCCTCTGACGTTGTTTAACAGGAGAGGAAGTAATGCATATTGGTTATTGGAAGTCTGAGCAATTTCCAGATTTTTTTCAAGAATGAGGTAAATATTTGATCAGTCTTGATAAGTAGATTTATTTTAAAAAGCTGGCAGCCTACAGTCTAGTATGCACATAAATTGTTCTGTGGCATATGTTATTTCTGTAAAGTCTGTTAAAGAAGGATAGCTGTGAAGGACTGATGCTGAAATATCCTCTTTTTTGTTTTGTTTACTGGTTGTCTGGCTGTGGGGATGCAGAATTTTTAAATTTTTTTTTTTAATTGCCATAAACAATCAATGGCTAGTTTCAAGTAAGTATTTAAATCTATTTGTAATACTTGAATCCAGAATTGTTGAAAAAAGGTACTATTCAGCAGG